TATATATAGGTTTTGTGTGATTTTAATAGCTTTTTTTTTGTATGATAGATTGCATGATAGTTTTTTCACTTTAACATTTTGCTTAGATAGTATAATTACTTTTATTGCAGAGAGAACTTTTGCTTGTGGAAAATTTTGGTGCCTTCCATGGAGATCATTTGGTGGAGCCATCTTTCAATCTCATTTCTGCCTTTATCTTAAAAAGCATGTTATGTGTTGCTCATCTTCTTGCCAGGATTTTTAGTTCCCATCTCTATCGTTGAATTTTATTCTATTTTCTAGATACATGGTGGTAATATATATATATATGTGGACGGTTCCTTACATTTTATTTTAAGGGAGTTGTATTTAGATTTAGATGGGATGTGTCACCTACTTCTACAACCTTATTTCCTATATTAATAAAATTATAATCTCTCAAAAACAGCATCCATAATCAACTAACCAACAATCATAAAAAAGGTTTTGTTTGGAACAACTTTTTAATATTGTGCTTTAAGAAAATCATAAATTGCTTTTTAATAGCTTTTCAATGCATATCTAAAAGCGCTTCTAATTAAACAGTATTTGTCAGGGTGCGTTTGGGGCAGCTTGTGCGTTTCAGGATAAGGGGATCGACCCGCGTTCTGCGTTTAGTGTAAAAACCTAAACGCGTTTCCGAATAAGCTGGCGAAACGCGCGAACCAATCGGTACGACAGTGTTTTGAAAACGCTGCCCGCACTTATAAGCTGCTTCAAACGGGCCTTTAATCATTTCAAATAATTATTTCTATCTCAATTTGAAAATTGATTTTCTTACAACAATTTAAAAAACAGGCTTTTATAAAAATAAAAGTGTAATCAAAGTCTAAAACCACCCAAGAAATAGCTTGTCAATAAGTTAAAAAAAAAATGAAAATTCATGCAAAATTTTGATATAATTATATGCTAGTGATATATATAACTTTTAAACTATAGAAATAAATTTTTTTTTTTAATATGATCATGACCTTTGTATTGAATGGAGTATGAACCACTTAACAGATAAGTAGTGCATGTGAGGATTAAAAGCAAAAGAACAAAATTATGTTTTTTTTTTTATATAAATAAAAATCAATTTTAGTAAACAAATAGAAATTGTGCCTCAAATGAATACGATCACTTCTACTTCTACGGTTACATTGTGGCCTTGCACGCACGGACGACACGGTGCGGGCGAGCGAGCTGCTCACGTGCGTGGCACGTGTTGCGCGGTGGGGAACAAAGTGGTTCGGTCGCGGTGCCGGTACGGAGTTCGCTCCAGGAACACTGGTCCGTTCGGCCGGTCCACAGAGGAGGATCAACTGTCGCTATCAGACACCAAACAGCAAACATGGGTCTAAAAATTGATGGTGGGCCCAGTTTAGCAAATTAGGAGACAACACCTCACGAGATAATGTCCTCTGTTTCTCTTCGCACTCTTTCGTCCCTGCTCCAGTTCTTCCTACCAATTGCTAATAACTCCATGCTGCGAGAGAGAGAGAGAGAGAGAGAGAGAGAGAGAGACAGAGAGAGAGAGAGAGAGAGAGAAGGGAAGAAGCAGGGATGGAGAAGTTGTGGAGTTTGGCGGATGAAGAAGAGAGGTAATCTTAAGTTGGTACGCTTCTGGTGAGTTTATAAGCCATTAGTGGGCATATTCC